AGGAGGGCCCAGGGAAAGAGAGTAAACTTTTTAGAGGCAACTTAAAAACAAGAAAAGGAATCAGTGAAGCAATAAGCACAGGAAGACTGTTCTAGTAATCAAACATATAAATAAGAATCTTTCATTAAAAAGGGAAGGCATGTGAAGAATGGGGAAAGAAGCTACACTGGAGTACAGGGTGTATAATAAATTGAGTAAGGTGATGTCAGCTAGGACTAATAACTTGACACTGTGTGTAGGTCATCTCCATAAAATATTGCGCAGCTCTTATGTCTCAAACCATCCCAACTCTAGACAGATCACTTATCTATTCATGTACCAGGTACGGTGAGTTATCCTTGTGGTTCAAGGTAGAGAAAGTCTTCTAAGTCACTTGTTCCTATCCAATGCCCTCATCCTTAAAGAGCACTACTTCATACCAAAGTTCTTTTTTTTTTTTTAAATCAAGGATTTTCAAATGAAAATAAGAAAATACTCCATCTTGGAGAGTCAATGGAAACAAACTGAGGTTCCTTCCATGCAGTATCTGTGATTCACAGATATGTAAGGTTGTAACACAAAAATTATCACTGAAAACTGAGTAATGCACATACAGATTTGGACAGCTCAAAGACCAAATACATCACTAGGAAATCCTTCATACTGTAAGCTTAGGCAACCAATCTACTCTTAAGATCCCTTAAAGAACAGACTTGATTCTGGAGGACCCTGGTGTATGATTACTACTTAAAGAAACAAAAGGATTCAATCAATCCAAAATTGTCACAAAATTCAAACGGTCTCTCTGGGCCATAGAGCCTCAGTTCAAAAAGGTTGGTGGGAACTGCACAGGCAGGCCTTTTGAGGGTTCTACTGAAGAAACAAGGTATCAAGTAGTGTTTGGATTTAAATCTGCTAGCATCACCAGAAATCAAAACCAAAAATAAAACCCCGTAATTTGCAAAAAGTAGTAAAAGTTGACTCAAAGGAATATAGAAAACTCAGAAAAGCAATAGTTTTGTTAATAAGTTAATATACTGTACCTTGCCCTTTTACCCATAAATATCTGACTTGTTTGAAATTAAAAAATCTTTTTCATATATTTAAGACAATCAACAGCCAAATTTAGATGACTCCACTCATTTTACTTATTCAGCTGGTATAGACAGAAAAATAGATAAAGGCCTGAGGTGTTTCTGGTGATTTATGCAGTGATAGATTAGGTTAAAGCAAAGCAAAACCTAATTCTACAAATCAAGACAAAAGTACAATGTTTTACAGGCACTGATGTTGAAAGTTTCATTCCAGGGAGATCAAACAGGAAATATTCATTTAATACTGAATGAAAATCTCAGGAAGAATTTTGTGTTCAATAGCACAGAAAGAACTGTGACTGCTTCTTTGTAAACAAAAGAGAACTCGTGTGATTTTCAAGTCAAATAATATCTTCCTCACCTGTATGCTCATTGTTCCTATCCAGCCCCCAGTTCCTGGTAACTAACTGAGGTAAATAACTAGCCTAGGATTAATCTCAAAGCAACCAACTTGATACCACTGTTTCTTTTCATTGCAACCAAGGCTCAATTAAAGTTTCTGGCTTTACCATGACCATTTTCACAGTTCTCACCTCACACCCTCCTTCCCCATCACTGTACTCGTTACCCCGCATTATCACTGTCCATCACCCCCAACCCGTCAGGACTGGAACCTATTTTAAGAACAGGGATACACTTTTTTTCCTTTTACCTCACTAAGCCTGGCAAAGTGCTTAGCAAACAGAAGTAGCTCAATAAATACTTCTTGATGGAAGCAACAAAGAGAACTGGCCATACTGTGCAAAGCCTGTCTCAGCAAGAAAAGAAACGGAGATAAAACATTGAGCAGAGCGACAGCTCTCAGTCACCTTTCCAGAGTTGTTCTCCCTAGCCCAAGGGAGCCGTTGCGGAGTCATCTAAATTTGGGAGTCCTGGGAATCCCAGGACTCCCAAAGAGAAATAATGTAGCTCTGTCAAAGAGGCTTTTCCAGCACATGCTGTAAGAGATCAGGGAATAAGCACCACAGGATTCCATCTAGGAAAAATGTTAATTTTCCTGGAGGAACAAAGTGCACACAAGGGGGTTCTCGTGCATGGGCCAGCTTCGGACGAATTAATAACAGTCTTAAAACATTCTAAAACAATTTTACTAGCTGCCTTCAGTCTAAGCCAGCTTCTAACAATTCTGGCCAAAGTTTTTATCATTTCTTTAGCAGCTTTCAGATTACACTAAAACCAACTTTGCCAAAAATTAACACATTTGTATGTGGGGGGGGGGGTGAGTGCCACTCTCCTCACCTTCCATAAAACATACGATATTCAAAATCCATACTTTCTTCAACTTGCCCAATGTCAAATATTGCCTATTTGGTATAAATGTCTACTGGAGTCCATCTACTATCTTTGGCCAGTCTTAGGCCCATAAAAAAGTCCTTTTAAACTAAAGAGACCAGAGAAAAATTGCTGAGGCCAGTAACTTCTACCGTGACAAAACAGTGACCACTGGACATGGCCTGTGTCCTATCTGACCTACAAATTTTATTGCTTAAGAAATTATGAAATCTCATTTTGTCAGACTAAATGTGGCCTGTGGTTAAGGACCCTGTTCTGCCTATTTCCCAAAGTGAACCAGCAGCATTGTTATCAACCCAAAGATAAGAATTCAGGGGGAAAAAGGTTTTCATTAACAACAGTGGAATTAAGGGAGTCTTCTTTTTTTGTTATCTTGAAAAATAAAACCCCGTAATTTGCAAAAAGTAGTAAAAGTTGACTCAAAGGAATATAGAAAACTCAGAAAAGCAATGGTTTTGTTAATAAGTTAATATACTGTACCTTGCCCTTTTACCCATAAATATCTGACTTGTTTGAAATTAAAAAATCTTTTTCATATATTTAAGACAATCAACAGCCAAATTTAGATGACTCCACAGTTTACCAGGAGACACAGGAAAACTGCTATTAAGTATAATTGGTGAAGCTGTACAATAGGTAGGATATCATTACACTATTCTACCTCCGTGTACACTTTAAAATCTCCGTGTTAAAAAGCCATAATGTATCAAAAAAATTTTTTTAAATGTTAACTTATGTGAAAAAAATGGCATTTATCAGCCTCTTCTGTTGCTTCATATCAAAGTCAAAGCCCAACCAGAGCACTTTCCTTCTGTAGCCCATTCATTACATGCTCCTTCCAGGTCCTTATGTGTACTCACTGGAAGATGTCAATGGGAAGAACCAGCTTACGTAAGTACAATGATGCTGAAAATAACCCAAGTAAGATCTTAGTAAGTTTTAAATAAAGACTTTGGAACATTCTTGAGATTTGACCTCAAGATGGCAAAACTGAACTGTATAGATTATTGTTTCAAGGGGAATTTTTGTATAATGCTGACACAATAAAAATATCAAGAGACCAACAAACCCAAGTTAGGGTAAGTAAGTGGGTCTACGCCTGTCTTTTAAATGGTTTGTCTAATGTCTTTACCCTTTATTTCTTCGTAGAAACAGTAAGGTTCATCAATAAAATTTATTTTACCAAAATGCCTATGGACTTCTCATGACTGGAGTCAAGCTACTTATAAAAGTAAGTAAAACTTAAAAACAATTGGAATGGAGCTGAAACTAAACGTTAAAGTATCTTTTTTACTGTGCCTCTTTATCCTTACAGGGGAGGGGACTACATTTCTCCAGTTGCAGTCTGAGAATCATATAAAGGAACAGGTATCGACATTGTCCTCATTAATAAATATTGTAGCAAATTCTGGTTTTTAAGTGTGGTTAGTCTTTGAGGAGACTGACATCCAACTTTGGCTTCCTGGGGGAGCAAGTTCCACAGGTTGATTCACCATTCTATTACACCTGATTTTTATGTACTCTTAAATCACAGCCTTTAAAGTTAAGCCTGGAGGTTCGAATTAACATGAAGCGGAATGGTGAGTAGTCTTTAAAGTCTCTGCTGGGGGGAAATTTTAGACCTGACAGAGGAGTGCTCAAGTCTAGGACTGGGACAGCCGGCAATTGGCACGGCTCGAAACCACTGCAAGTTTGCTGGAAGTAATTCCTTAGCTGATCGAGGAAAATCCGAAAGCTCCTGATGACCCCTCACCTGGTTGAACTCCTCGTCAGCGTATATATCAATCAAGTCCACTCCTTCTGACATGGCTCCGAAAGGAAGATCTCGAGCCGGGAAAATGGACAAAGTAAGAAAGATGCCACTGCAGTATTCAGAAAAGGACAAGAATTAGAAGGCATGAGGGTCCTGGGCTGGGAGGAAGGCAATGGTTGCCAACCTCCCATCTCTAGAGACGCAGCATCCCGGCAGCCCAAGCTCGGCCCCACCCGCTCCGCCCCGCCCCCGGCCTCGCGCCGCCCCCCGCTCTCCCAGGCCGCCGGGGCTCGCGGGGCTCGCTGCCCATCACCCTCCGGCCCGGCCCGGGTTGCGCCGCGTCGGTGTCGCAGCTGCCTGTGGCGCGACGGAAAAGTCCAGGCCTCGGCTCCCAGCGGCCCTCAGACCGCGTTGCGAAGAACGACCGCGGCGAAGCCCGCAGCCCTTGTCCGCCGCACCTGCCTAGGCCCCAAGACGGCCTCAGCCAGAGCCTCTGTGGGTCCGGAAACTCCAGCCGCCTCTGCTCCCCACCCAGGCCCAGTCCTCGCCCCCATCTAGGCCCGCCCCGCTCCCTCCCCACAGACCCGGCCCGGCGCCCTCGGTCCCCTCCCTCAAAGGCCCGCGCCTCCCTCCGCCCGCCGACTCCGACCGCCCCATCTCAACCGACCCCCTCCCCGCCTCGGCGCCGGCCCCGACCCCTCTTCCGGCTCAGGCGGCCCCCGGCCGCGCGCCCCCGTTACCGGGAATATGGCGGCGGCAGCGGCGAGTCCGGACTAGGCCCGAAGCGCGCGAACCGCTCTCCGCCTCAGGTCCCGCCCCCCCGCCGCCGGCGTCACACGCACCGCCACTTCCGCCATACGCAGGGACGTATCTTCCGGTTCAGGTCCTCCGCGGCGGCCGAAGTCTCCTGACCCGCGGCTGGGAGTTCCCGGAAGTGGCCAGGCAGCAGGTTTCCGGTGCAAGTTCGGAAAAATGTCTGTGGCCACCGTTTTCTCTACTCTGGCGCGGGTGAGCAGGGCGGAGGTTCTAGGTTAGGGTCTGGGCAGCGGGGACTCAGTTTTGGCTTCCTTTGTGGTCTTCGAGTCCGTGGGGAGCGTCCAACTGCCCGACAGCGCAGGGCAAGGGCAGACCCAAGGAGAGCCCGATCTTGCAGCTCAGAAAAGTCAGGTCCATCCTTTGGTGAACCTCCTGTGTGCTGGTCTGGTAATATCTGATTGAACGATCAATCATCGTGTGAGTCCCAATTCAGATCTCTCCAATGTCCCAGGGGGTGTTAGCCCAGCTGCCTCTGGGCGCCCCTTCTCCCTGTTCTTAAGTCTTGTTTAATGCCTTTCGCAGTTTCACATAGTATCTTGAGCTTTTTATTCTTCGTTTTGTTTATAATTGACACATGATAATTGTACATGTTTATGGGGTACAGTGTGATGTTTCAACACGTGTGTACGTTGTACAATGATCAAATCAGGGTAGTTAGCATGACCATCACCTCAAACCTTTATCATTTCTCTGTGGTGATAACTTTCAAGATCTTCTTTTCTAGCTATCATTATTATTACCTATAGTCACCCTACCATGTATTGAACACCTGAACTTATTCTTTCTAAATGTAACTTTGTACCCGTTGGGCGATCTCTCTCTTCCTTCTCCCCCCCATCTTTATTCGTTTTTAATATAGGCCTTCACCACTGTAAACTTTCCTCTAAGTACTGCTTTTATTGCACAGCATAATTTTTTTATATGTTGGATTTTAGGTTTTTTTCTTAAAGGTATTTTCTAATTTCCCTTTTGATTTCTGGCTTGACCCATTGGTTGTTCAAGAGTATGTTGTTTAATTTCCACGTATTTGTGAGTTTTCCGGTTTTCTTTCTGCTGTTAATTTCCGGTTTTATCCTATCTTTGTTTGAAAATATTCTTGGCATGATTTCAGTCTTAAATTGCTTAAGTTTTGTTTTGTGGTGTAACATGTGGTCTATCCTGGAGAATGAATGTTCGCTGTGCACTTAAGAAGAATGTGTATTCTGTTGTTGGGTGGAATGTTCTGTGTATGTGTTAGGTCCCTTTGATCTATAGTGTTATTCAAGTCCTCTATTTCCTTACTGATTTTCTGTCTGGATGTTCTATACATTACTGAAAGTGCATTGTTAAAATCTATGATTGTGTTACTGTCTATTTCTCCCTTTGGTTCTGTCAATATTTGCTTCATATATTTGGATGTTCTTTTTTTTTTTTTTTTTTGAGACAGTCTTACTCTTTTTGCCCGGGCTAGAGCGAGTGCCGTGGCGTCAGCCTAGCTCACAGCAACCTCAGACTCCTGGGCTCAAGCAATCCTACTGCCTCAGCTTCCCAAGTAGCTGGGACTACAGGCATGCGCCACCATGCCCGGCTAATTTTTT